GCTGAAGACATGATGACCAATCCACACATCAGAAAAAAGAAGAAACGATGACGTTTTGGTCTATCCTAGACCACTATTAAGCAGTGTGAAGGAAGAGAGGATGTTTTCTTGTTGTTTTAGATTTAGCTACTCAGAACGAAATGTCCATGTAGCATGGGCGAAGGCAGGCTCATACCTTACGGGTGAGCCCGTAAGGAAGAGAGGAAGGTGATTGATTGATTGATGAAGATTAAGCCACCCCAAAGGTGGCACGGGCATGAATAGCTCGTAAGTGGTGGCCCTTTTGAGCCATTACCAGTATCAAGAGCTGATACTGGAGATCAGTGGAGGTGCGACTGCACCCTGCATGACGGGAGATGTCTCCCGTCGAGAGGAAGGTACGGGCAAATATATTAAGTAAGAAAGTGAGATGAAAGGTGAGGAGCACTGATTGATTAATAAAGATTAAACCACCCCCCAAAGGTGGCACGGGCATGAATAGCCCGTTAGTAGAGGCTCTTTCATGCTATTACCAGTACCAATAGCTGATACTAGAGATCTGTGGATGGATGGGGTCATGATGGATTCCAGCCTCGTAGAGCTGGCTGTACCAATTATGGAGCTGGTAGGTATCTATTGTATATATGGTGGGTAGACCTCTAGGTCTTTCGTTTTTTCTTTGGCTGAGACTTTTGGTGAGGAGTTTGCATAAGACCTCGGTGAAGTCTTGTGCCGAGTAGGTGTCGTATTTGTGCTACAGTGGTGGCGCTGTTATTCAAATTTCCTCATCTGAGGAGTCCGTACCATCCATAGTTGGTGGTTTGGTCTTTTGTCTCAACCTGAGATAGGCTCAGGTGTCGTGTATTAGTGGTAGAAGTTATTTCAGAACTGTTGGTGGTGCTGTTAGTATTTGTAGACAGCATGTCTGCTAGCGCCTCTGCTGAGATGGTGATGGTAAGAGTGTTGGGAGCTGGAGAGGGAAATACCTCTGTACTGCCCGGATCTTGGGTGGTTCTGGAGTCTGTGTTGAGAGCGACCTCGTGATCACCCTGGTGGTAGTCTCCGGAGTGGAAGTGGAGGCAGTGAGACTTGCCTCCGAGGCGATGATGGGGTCCAAGCCATTGGCTAGGTCGAGGGCATTGAGTTCCTAGACAAATCGTTGATTGTCTAGTCTGGCAAGACTCTCCACCAGTTGAATGAGACCAGGGATAATGCCTGCACGTGATGCAAGGCACTGCGAGGGTGCTGGTTGGTCTTTAGGTCCCCAGTGTGGAGCCTGTGTGACCTGCTGGGAGGGAGAAGGGAGACAGGAGATGGCTATTCATCGTCGTTTGGTAAGACTGAATAGTCTTCTGGTAGGTTGGTGGGAGCTGAGGTGCTGTATTTGGTGCCGGTGGCTCCTGCGGCGGAAGTTAACGAGCTTTACGTTAAGATCTCGAAGAGTATTAGTTATATGTTTCAGTTCACATACAAAGGGAAGACAAAAAACAGAGGAAATAGTCTTTGAAATAGGTTTGGGATGAAGACATTAAGAGTAGCTTGAGAATATGCACAGTTGATGAAATGTAAGGGTTATTCAAACACAGAGAAAGATTTGTAAATAAAATAAATTTCAGAATCAAGAAACAGAGTCACTGATGAATAGAACATGGAGAAAAAGAGAGACAAGAATCTTGGACGTCACGAAGTATGTTTAAGGCCATTATGGATAATCTATAATGGCCTTAAATAAATCTATAACCGACGCCTTGATACGGTGAGCACCATATGATATTGTACACAAACATGAAGTTCATCGAGCAGATCGTCGGAGACGCCGATGATGATATATCCACATAACATTAAAAGAATAACCATCTACTAACTCACACACAATTATT